GCCTATAACATACAAGGAAATTCAAACAGTAATACAAAGCCTCCCAACTAAAAAAAGCCCAGGCCCAGATGGATTTACAGCAGAATTCTACCAGACATTTAAAGAAGACCTTCAATCAATACTACTTAAATTATTCAAGATGATAGAAACAGAGGGAGAATCCCCAAATTCCTTCTATGAAGCCAGCATCACTCTAATACCCAAACTGGGCAAAGACACAACCAAAAAAGAAAGCTATAAACCCATATACTTAATGAACATAATGTTGCAAAAATTCTCAACAAAATACTTGCAAACTGCATGCAGACACACATCAAAAAGATCATTCACCATGATCAAGTAGGCTTTATCCCAGAGATGCAGGGATGGTTCAATATATGCAAATCAATAAACATCATTAATCTTATAAATAGATTCAAAGACAAAAACCACATTGTCAGCTCAATAGATGCAGAAGAGGCTTTTGACAAAATTCAGCATGCATTTATGTTCAAAGTCCTAGAGGGAATTGCACTGGTGGGAACATACCTCAACATAATTAAAGCTATATGCAACAAACCCACAGCCAATATCATTCTAAATGGAGAAAACTGGAAGCATTCCCATTAAAATCAGGAACCAGACAAGGATGTCCACTCTCTCCACTCCTTTTCAACACAGTGCTTGACACTCTTGCTAGAGCAATAAGACAGGAGAAGGAAATTAAAGGAGTACTAATTGGAAAAGAAGAGGTCAAACTATCACTTTTTGAAGATGATATACTATACCTAAGAGATTCCAAAAGTTCCACCAGAAAAGTCTTAGAACTGATTAATACTTTTAGTATAGTAGCAGGTTATAAAAACAATCTACAAAAATCAGTAGCCTTTCTATATACCAATAACAAGCAATTGGAGAAAGAATACAGAGAAATGCTCCCATTCACAATTGCTGCAAAAAATTTAAAATACCTTGGAATAAATCTGATGAAAGATACCAAAGGCCTCTACAGTGAAAAAATTAAATCTTTAAAGAAAGAGATTGAGGAAGACATCAGGAGATGGAAGGACTGCCCATGCTCATGGATTGGAAGAATTAATATTGTGAAAATGACCATCCTACCAAAAGCCATTTATAGATACAATGCAACGCCAATCTAAATCCCTATGACATTTTTCAAAGAATTGGAAAAAAACATCCTAAGATTCATATGGAAGCACAAAAGAGCTCAGATAGCCAAAAGCTACCCTGAGCACTAAGAGCAATGTTGGGGGGATTACTCTACCAGATTTTAAGCTGCATTACAGAGATATAGTCATAAAAACAACATGGTATTGGCACAAAAGTAGACCCATAGATCAATGGGACAAAATTGAAGACCCAAATATGACTACATGCAATTTCAGCTACCTGATATATGACAAAGGGGCTAAGAACATTCACTGGAGGAAAGACAGCATGTTCAGCAAACCGTGCTGGCAAAACTGGATCTCCACCTGTAGAAGAATGAAACTAAACCCCTATCTTTCACCTTGCACAAAAGTCAGTTCCAAATGGATCGAAGACCTCAATGGAAAGCCTGAAACTCTGAAACTGTTAGAAGAAAACATTGGCAAAACCCTACAAGATATGGGTGTAGGAAAGGATTTTCTAAACTGGACATCAATTGCTCAGGAAACAAGATCAAGAATCAACAAATGGGACCTCATTAAACTAAAAAGCTTCTGTACATCAAAGGAGGAAACAGGGAAGTGAAGAGAAAACCCACAGAACTTGAGAAAATCTTGACCAGCAACACATCTGACAGGTTTAACATCCAGAATACATAACGAACTCAAAAAACAGAGAATCAAGACAGGAAGTAACCCAATTAAAAGATGGGCTAAGGAGAGTTCTCAGAAGGGGAAGTAAAAATGGCTAAGAAGCATCTTAAAAAATATTCAACATCACTAATAATTAGGGAAATGCAAATTAAAACAACTTTAAGATTTCATCTTACCCCAGTCAGACTGGCTAAGCTCAAGAGACCAAATGATACCAAATGTTGGAGAGGATGTGGGGAAAGGGGAACACTCATCCACTGCTGATGGGACTGCAAACTTGTTCAACCCCTAAGAAAAGCAGTGTCGAGAACTCATAGAAAACTACAAATGAACCTACCATTTGACCCAGTTATACAGCTCCTTGGCATATGCCCAAAGAACTCATCCTAATGTAGAGACACTTGTACATCCATGTTTGTTGCTGCTCTTTTCACAATAGCTAAGAGATGGAAGCAACCTAAGTGTCCCTCAGTTGACGAGTGGATAATGAAAATGTGGTTCATTTATATGATGGAGTTTTACTCAACAGTAAAGATGAAATCATGAAATTTGGAGGTAAATGGATGGAACTAGAAAGTATCATACTAAGTGAAGTAACACAGACTCAGAAAAAAAAATCGACACATATTCTCCTTCATATGTGGATCCTAGAACAAATCCTGATAAGTGAGTATGTATCCAGACATAACTACAGGAACCAGGATAATGGAAAGTAACCAGGGAGGTAAAGGAAAAGAAAGAACCTGAAGGAGAAAAACAGTAGGAAACAGGCATTAATAAGGGAGATATGGATAAAAATTGGGTTAGTTTAAGGGATGGGGGAGGGAAGCGTATACAAGGAACCTAGGGGATAAAGGGAAAGAAGGAGCTCAAGAGCGGTAGGACCATAGGAGAAGGATATTATTAAGGGAGAAAGAGGGAAAATGTGGGCACCTTAATTGGGGAAACCATGATGGAGGGGTTAGACAACGCGAGAGATAAATAATGCCTAGCTAGTTTTAAAAACCAGAGGGAGGCCGGGCATGGTGGTGCATGCCTGTAATCCCAGCACTTGGGAGGCAGAGGCAGGTGTATCTATGTGAGTTCAAGACCAGCCTGGTCTACACAGTGAGTTCCAGGACAGCTGGGGCTACAGGGAGACCCTGTCTCAAAAAGACAAAAAAAAAAAACAAAAAATCAAAAAAACAACCAACCAACCAACCAACCAAACAAACAAACAAACAAAACAGCCCCAAAAACCAGAGGGAAGCATATGAGCCCAACAACTTACTGATAAATTATACATACCAGATCAAGAAATATATGTATAGGCAAGGTTTATCTGAGAACAATTGGTCTTTGCCTAAGATTTATCTACATGGCACATAGTAATTATAAGAACTAGACTGTACTGGTGGAACTAACCTTCTTGGATGTTTAATAGACATACTTCGAGGCCTATACTAATTTGGTCAGAGGGACATAAAGGACAGTTTTTGCTTCTTGCCCTCCTAGGTCGACTAGTTCCAGGGGACTAGGAGCATCTCTCGACATGTCCCATAATTGTGGTGGGTCACCTGTCCTCTTGATCAAGGAGGCCAAGAAGACCCCACAAGATGGACTTGAACCAGTGTCCAGTCCACAAAGAGGAGGGTCAACACAAAAGAATCATTTCCTCCGTGCTCCCAAGCAATGCTAGCTATGGTTGAGCAGGGCCTTTGACTTATCTTCACATAGGCAGAACTGGTAAAACAAAGGAGCCAGGGACTCCTCCCAAGCCCATGTGACCCCTGAGGAACAGATCCTCAAACGGCCTTAAGAGTAAAAATAAATTAGTTTATCTGAGCCAACTCTATGGCCTTAAACACCTAAAAGGAAAGTATAGCCAAAGATTAAAGGGGTCAATATTATTTTTTAAGAATCCATATGTACAGCGAAAGGCTACATAACAAGCAACAATGCCAGATAGGAGATACCTTCTTTTGAGTTGTTGGTCAGGGTGGCCCAAGGGGCTCCCAGATAGTAACCCAGCATAGACCTGGGAAAATGAACATCAGACCCCAGTCTTATCTAAAGGAATATTGATAACCATTTGCTGCTAGATGAGGAACAGCTGACCTTCCTAAATCAAAGACCTTTAGATAGGTTGGCTAGATTCATCAGATGGACAAGTAGTGGGGAACGGCTGGGGGTCCCGACAACACAGTGGACAGTAGCAGGGATAAAAGAGTATAAGGGCTCCAGTGAGGGAGGGAAGCTATGGGAGGGTGCCATCTTGGAAGTGGGTGTATAGTTGAATAAGATGGTTTGGGATGTTCTGTGTGATATACACACAGAGAAAAATCAACAAATTAAAAAAATGAATTATATTTGAGGAGGAATCATAAAAATTTACTTCATGTTAATCAATAGAGGTGAAAAACATTACTACTGAAATCTACCTGATACTCATGTGCCAAAGGATCTGAGTGTAACCAACTGTGACTAGTAATAGTCAGATACATAGACATTAGAGACACATGTGCAAACATCTAAGTGTTAATAGCATTAAAAATGAGTTTCTCTGTATAAAACAGTGTATTTTATTTTTAAATGAAATGGAGATCTTTTTTAAAGGTTAAAATCTCTAGTCAGCAAATCTAGAGTTCCTTGTGTTAGGAAGATCATAAACGTCTTCTAATCTCCGTGGGCATTGCCAGACAGGGGTGTACTTAACATACAGGCAGGCAATACACTCATACACAAAATAAAAAATAATAAATAAAATATTAAAAAAAATTTTCTTTTATTGTGTGTGTGTATGTGTGCATGTGTGTGTGAACACACCATAGCATGTATGTGAAGATCATGAGACAACTGGTGGGGATCAGTTTTCTCTCTTTCCACCATGTGTTTCTGAGATGGAGATCAGGTCATCAGACTTGAGCCAGATCGCTGTCTTTATCTTCATACCTAACCTTTTTTTCTTAGCCTCTGGAGAACATTGGCCCCGTGCTCTATGGCAAAGCCTTTCGTTCCACTGAGACGCCTTGGAGCTATACGCATTTAGAATTCTGTGTCGATGTAATTTATCTTTTGGAGATTGAGTTATTTTAAAAATAGCATTCATCAAAGCAATTTACAAAGAAGTTTCATAGCAAATCCTCAAAGAATCAGAGTAACTTCATTCATTCCTAAAGCTGCCATCAATCAAATAAAAGACCTTATTAACTTTCTTACTTTTGCATTGAGGTCTCCCATGACAACTTTGACTGTTTTTTCAATTGAAGTGATGTGATTCCTCAATTTGGACTCTGAAAGACAAAGGAGAAACTGCAAGGTCAGAAAAGGTAGGACTGGTGAAAACCTATTAGAATCAGGGCACACAATTGAAAAGGCTCTCCTCTTTAAACACCTTACGCTATTCATTTCCTCCCCTTTTCTAGTCTTTAACCAGGTCAGTTGCCTTCTTGGTTTCCTGTTACATTTATTTCATTTGTTTCATCATGGATTCCTTATACCATGCCAAGTTTGTTAGTTGTGAAATGGGTAAGACTAATTTTGTACTGTTATCAACTGATTCTTTAGTAAATCACACTGCTAACCAGATTTTTAAAGCTGTATTATGCTGCATGAAAATGAATTCTTACATTTTCCTGAATCTAAAACTACAATTTTATGTTTCATCACTTTTTCTATTGCACCAAAAGAAAAAGATAGTGGGCAATTAGAATGAAAGATTATTAACTGAAAGACATGTTTACTATTATGAAAACTTGCTTCTTGGAAGTAATGAGATATAATAATTCACTAAATTCATTTTTTTCTAAATGAATTTCTACCAAATTGTAGACAATTCTATACCCCCCATTTACTATTCAGCCACTTCACTAAGCTACGGGATCTTCCAAAAGTTAAATTTAGTTCTCAAAAATTCCATTTATCTTTCTCAGTGAGATATTGTTCATAAATTCCATGGAAGAAGAGAAGTAACTGAAAATACTTGCTTAGAAGTTACAGATCACACAGACCGAGAAGATGGTTTCACTCCCACAGGGCATTACACAAAAAATGTAGCACAGGATTTGAGAACATGTGAGTCTCTGTGCCCTTCTCCTAATGAAATAAACTGTTGCAGCTTCATCCCTAATACTTACCCTCAGCATTGATAGTTGATCTTAGCAAAGTTAAGATTCCTGTTCGAACAGCTTCGTTGTTACTTCTTATCTGTTCATCAAAAAAATCCAGCAGGTCTGCAGGATTGGAGTGGGCTGCAGGTTTAGAAATAGTGGGGCTGTGAACTCAGGTTCTTTAAATGTTTTAATTAGCACATGCTATTTGTACATCGTGTTACTTTCATACATGCATAAGAACTCAGTTTTTCTCTTAGATAAAGCACTTGTGAATGGATGGCAGGAATTTCTTCATGAGGATTGTCAAGGTCATTCTTTGGTTGGTTTTGTGATGTTCATTCTTTGGTATCACAGAATTTGTTAAGCAGTTTTGTTACTAAGAGAATTTTCTATACCTATGCTCACTCTGTTCATATTTGTGACTTTGGTCTCATTTGAAAGTTAGAGGCCTTGTAGATACAATCAAGAGAAGGCCAGTGGAATGGGTCCCAGTACAATGGTGTCCTTGTAAGAAAAGGAGAAGAGACACGGAAGGGTCATGTCATGCATGAGCACTGAGATGATAGAGACAAAGATTGGAGTGGTGCCTTTCCTGCCTAGAAGCTAGCGGGCTACAGGACAGTTAGGCAATATCTGGCTGGAGGAAAGCAGTTTTGAAACTTGTGAATTAGCGAAATAGGCTGACTACACAGGAGGTAGTAGCACATAATAGAAGATATTCAATGAAGTGGGACAGATGACCTGGGGGAGCACTGTGGGAGGAATCAGATGGCTACTCTCCCTCCTCCTCAAGGACTGTGATAGGACCTGGTTTTATAACCCAATCCAAGGACTTCGGTATCTCCTTTGTAATCTGTGTTGGGTACTCACCAATGTTGGAAGGCGTGGTGATACTGTAATGCAAAACAAAGAAAGAAAAGGCAGTGGTGGTGGTGGTGGAGGAGGAAGAGCGGCAGGAAGAGGAGAGAATGAGAATACTGATTGTTGTCTAAAGTGCTTGGATAAGAAGGAATGACTGAGGAGGAAAAAAGAAAAGGCGCCTTTGGATTTGACAGTATCATAGCACCTAAAATACCTAGAAAAAAAACCCCTATTCTTAGGGTGATAAATTTATGCAGGTTTTCCTAGGAATTTTTCTAGGGAACTGATAATTCTATCTGGAACTGGTAATTCTATCTGGAACCACTAGAATCTCTAGGTCCTCAGCAGCCTGGCAAGACTGGGCACCCTACCCAAGCCACTCTGGCGATTTTGTAGGGAGGACAGGCACAGAATGCTGTGAGCTGAAGGAACATTCTGCATGTGTGGAAGCAGCTCCAGTGACAACACACTCTACTGTCAACATCTTTTCACTTTGAGATATTTTTATTAGCACTTTCTGGATGCTGGATCTTACCTAGGAGGAGAAAACAGCTTGAAGCTTCAATTTCATTTTCCTTTATTGGAGGCTGTACAAGTCTGCAGGTCTGAATAGGGAGGAAAATATCAAGGGCTAGACATCTAAAGCAGAGAAATAGTTTAAATCAATCAAGCAGATTTGACAGCGTGGCCGTCCTACCTGGTGGAGCAAACAACTGGAGATGGATCTTCTCAGGTTCCTAGGGAGGCCAATGTCATAGAGGACAACTGCAGTCAGTATCTGTTTTAGACTCTTAAACAGAAGCACTCACAGTTAGGTGGAGGCTGCCAAAGGAGCGGTCACACAGGATGTAAAGGCCCCTAATTACATTTTTGTGAGAAGACCAAACCATAGCTTTGCTGAAGTTACACATTTTCTTAGTGATTCTGGGCCCCTCCACTCATTCGGTGTCTCAGCAGCTTAGAATGACAATTCTCTGTCCTGCTTTGGAGTTTCTATCGGCAGTTGTGAAAACCTCTCTCTACAAATCTGCTTTGTCTCAAGTATTTGCAGGCAGCTGCCAAAGAGGTAGCCAAGTTTCCTAAAGCTCTTTGAGACTTAGCGTCCTCTAAAGGGCTGTGGATGGAGTCTCTTAGTCTGTCCCTTTGGGGCATGGCTCTCACCTGCGTGATGTAGAAATCAGTATCTTTGTCACTGTACTGGATCAGTAGCCAGGACACTTGGTTCAGGACGTATTCACAAAAGTCCTCTCGATGCAGCAGCAGGCTCATCGTGGGACCGTGGGCCTTGATTATGGCCAAAGTCTGCAGAGGCAGGAAACAAAGACCATTGCTGATGTGATGTTATTCTTCTTGCACATTTCTCAGTGCACTGACAAATTTTGGGGTTCCTTACTTACAAAAACTTACTCTGCTGTCAAGCAGGAAGCAATTCTGTAATTTTTAAAAATACATAGGTGAAGACTATTTCATGAGGCAGGTTGCGTTTGTATCTATTTCTATGTATATATGGATATTTATTTTGATGCTTTCTCCTTTCTACTATTTTTTATTTAAAATTTTGTATGTGTGTGTGTGTGTGTGTGTGTGTGTGTGTGTGTGAACATATGCCCTGGCCCATGTATGGAGGTCAGAGAAGGCAATCTTGGATATTGGTCCTTGCTTTCCCCTGTTTAACACAGGGCTTTTCTTGTTCTCTTGTTCACTGCTGTGGATAGTCTGAAAACTTTCTCTGATTCAACTCTTTCCCTCTCAACTGATAGGGGTGTGCAGGGAAGACAAATGCTTGCTCCACTGCCTCTGGTTTTCATGTGGGTTCTGGAATCCAAACGCAGGTCATCAGGCTTGTGCAACAAGTGCTTTACCCACTAAGTCATCCCTCTACTATTTCTTTAACTTCTCTCTAATTGTCACTTTCTTTCAATATATTAATGAATTAAAGATTTTCCCATTATTATAAAAGTCAATGACTCTATATCACCTTGACATTTCTTCTCACATCACTATTCCCATTAGATACTGCTTATTTTTTCCACCTCCATTTTTTAGTTTTGTAGACATTATTTATTTATTTTATTTTGGACAGGATCTCCCTGTAGCCCCAGCTGGCCTGGGACTAACTATATAGACCAGGTTGGCCTTGAATTCACAGAGATCCACCTGCTTCTGCCTCCTAAGAGCTGGGATTAAAGGCATATGCCATCACAGCTGGTAATAAAAATTATTTTTATTTAATATGTATGAGTGTTTTGCCTGATGTGTGTAAGAACACCTGTGTTGTGCAATGCCCACAGAAGGCAACAAAGGACATTGGGTCCCCTGGAACTGGCATTATAGACAGTTGTTAGCTGTCATGTGGATGCTGGGTACTGAACTCAGGTTCTTTGCAAGAGCAGCCAGTGCTCTGAGCTGGCTTTCTAGCCCAATTTTTCTTTCTCTCTCTCACTCTCTCTTCTCTCTCTCTCTCTTTTCCCTTCCCTCCCTCCTCCTCTCTCCCTTTCTTTCTTTCTTTCTTTCTTTCTTTCTTTCTTTCTTTCTTTCTTTTTTTCTTTCTTTCTTTCATTTCTGATGCTGTGGTCTAAATTTCTTGCCTCTACTTCTCACCTCACACTCACCCCTAAGTTCACTGTAATCTGGCTTCCACTTGACATTGGAAATAAACAACTTCCAGAGCCTAGCATATAACAACTATTAATTATGAAAATCTAGAATCACAAATATTAAGCTAAAGAGAATATAACACAAGGAAATAGTTAACCACTGTTTGTTATATTTTAGTATATTTTTATTTATTTGGCTTATGCTTTCCTATCTTTTTTCTATAAATTTTAATTTTTTAGAAAAATTAACACTTTATAGTTTGAGGGTCTACTTTTTATAGCTAATAGATGTGATTTTTTTGAGATAAGGTCTCACTATGTACCACTGGCTGAACTGGAACTCACTAGGTAGACCAGGTTGGTCTCAAACTCACGGATCCATTTGCCTCCCGAGTACTGGAATTAAAGGCGTGCTCCACCACACCTGGCTATATGTGATGATTAAAAAAATCTGTGACCATCTGTTTTGCTCAAGCCTGTGTGTCAGCCACAGTTGTTCTTCTAACACACACTTCTGGGCACTGCACACCCGTTTTCTTGCTTGAGCACTGTAGTGTAGACCTTTACTTGTTCCTTTGAAATTCTTGGTTTCTGAGTTCTCATGCTCCTTTGAATTCCCCTTCCTTTAGAACCCTCACCTTCTGTCAGGAGTGCTCCTTTGTGTTCTTCCCGAACGAGCTTTACCTTTGTCACCTTCTACTCTCCATGCTGTCCCTGAACAACACTATCTAAAATCATTCAGCTTCATTAAAATAATGATAATACTCAAACCTATGTATCTGGTTTTGGTTTCTTCTTAATTACAACCATGAATGTACCTGTCAACTGGAATGTATCATAGGCATTCAAATAAAAATTTCTGCACTAAATTCCTTTTATAGTCTCTCAATCATTTTATTCTTTCTCATTCCTTATCTAAATGATATCAAGAATACTTAGATCAGAAATCTAGGCCTTATTCCAATTGCTCCTATTCCCTTTATTATAAGCATCCAGTTTAGACCAAATCCTGTTGATTCTGTTCTCTAGCATTGGCCCCCTCTGATCAGAATCAATGACATTATGGTAACTGAGCTTGCCATCTGTAATCTGGAGTATCTCCCAGCTTCCTAACAGTTTTGCCTTAATTTAGTCCTGCATCTGATGCTGTGGTTTGAATTGTCCCTCATAGGTTCACGTTAAACACTTAGTCCCCAGTTGGCGGCACTGCTTTATAAGACTGTAGAACCTTTTGGAGATGAAGCCTTGCTAGAGGCAATGGGTCACTGAGGGCATGTCATGAGGTTTTATAGCACAATCCCACTTCCTGTTTGTTTCCTGTTTCATCAAGATGTAATGAGGAATTCCAGCTGCACCTTCCTGCCATTGTGGAGCCCGCTGCTGCTATGACTTACTTCATGATGAACTGTGTCTTCTCAGAATGATTTTCTTAATACTCTAATCCTTGCTGAAAGCATTCTTAAAGCTTTAAATCTTTCTGTGCAACACTGAAGTCTCTTCATTATATAACCAAGATGGCCTTCTTGTTTCATTCATTCCTGCCTTCTGTCTTTTTCATTCTCCCATTCCCTTTCTCCTATTGTATTCACTCAAGCATGCCTGTTCCCCATCTGCAACCTGAGCTGCAGTGGGTTTGATTTCCTACAAGGCTATAAGACTCAGTCTCCAGTGCAATCTCTCCAGAGCTCACCAGGAAGTGAAGTGAGCCCACTACTTTAACTTCTTTGTACTTGCCTGGCTTTTCCTGTGGGAAGGTAGGAGGACTGCCATGAAATTGAAGCACTGGATTTTTGCTTTCCAAGTGCCACGAAGAAGAGATTTTTACAGAACGTTTTAGAAGCTCCATTGGTTAATGATCTAACCACACCAGATGTTCAAAAAAATGTTTTAAAAGCTTGAAGTACAGAGAAGACACAGAGCCAGAAAACAAACCCAGTCTTAAACCTTTTATAACACAGAAACAAAGAAGCCTAAATAGGATATAATTTAGCCTACTTTAAAAATTATATAAATTAAGCAATGTAAGGATTGAGTTATATATGTGAATGAATTTTGCTGTTTACCAATAAGGCATTGCAGTGTTTTGATACAGCTGAGTGAATTCTTTAAATGTTCTTTGTTTAATAGTAATATTTGTAGACATCAGAAATTTCTGTGCTTGTTTTTCTCAAGTTAATGACTCAGCTCAAGCGCAGGTTATGATATATAATACATGGAATAGTTGACATTCTATCTTTCACACATTTGTTCTCTCCACACATTGAAATATAAGACTGATATTGTGGTTTGTTCAAGCCTTGGTATATCCCCACCATCTGGAATAATATCTGTCATCTTGTATCTGTCATGATGTAGTGATTTAAGAAATTTTAGATGACAGAATGAATAAACAGTGACTTGAAGTAGACGGAAAAGTTGAAAGACTTGCTACGCTCCTAAAACATAACCAATGATACCCAAACTAATTGAACTTATCATGTAAAAAAAAGAAATTTCAAAGTCCTGTATTTGCTGATTTAACTACTTAAGATTTTTTCTTAAAATATACTTTCATAGGTTAAAGTGTAGAAGAGAAGTTAAAGAAAGTGACTAAGTTTTAAACATTTTATATATCACAATAGAGAGAATTAAGTAGGCTGTGACTTAAGCCCAAAGATGATGCAACCAGAATGGGGGGGCGAGATACAGCCTGAGGTAATCTGAGGCTCTACTCACATGTGTGGGTGATGCTGTGGGGGCCCATTTCTCCATGATGTACTGGAACAGCATAAGGATCTTGTCAGAGAGCCTGTTGGTATCCAATTTGGGATAGGGGAAGTCTTTCCAGTGGTTGACATATTTGTAAATGGCCTTGCTGAATTTCTCAAGGGCTATATTAAGAAAAACCACAATCATACACGGAGCAAAATGTAAAGATGGGAAGAACTGTTAGTTCTACAAGAGAATGCAGACAATTAGCAATTGCACAATGGTCTATACATAGTCTTAACTTCACCAAATAAACACTTGAAAAGTATTCAACCATGTTAACAAAATGTAAATTAAAACCATTATGAGATGCTATTACTATGAGATATAGTGTCCAGAATGGATAATATTTAATGCAATCAATGCCAAGTGTTGACAGGACTAAGGTATAGATGGTATTTTCACATACTGGTGTTGGGAGTAAAATTGACATACACTCTTTGGAAAACTCCCTGTGATATATCCACACTGTCCGAGAAGTGTCCCAGAAGCATGTCTGGTCTTGGGCACAAAGAAAACCACGGGAATACTCACCTATACAGAAAGTTTCTCTCATTTTTTCATCCTCCACCAGCCTGAGCATGGTCTGCATGGTGAGCAGGGTCATCATCATGAAGGGAATGCTCTGGGACACTGCAGTGAGGGGCAGGAGAGGAAAAAGGCATTATTCACTTTATTGGTGTAGGGGATCCCGACCTTTCCTTGCATCCACAACAAGCATGTCAGGACTGAATGGAGCAGGCGGGTGAAGTGCAGTAGGAATATGTTGTTCTTTTCTTCTTTCCAAGTCTTAAAACCAGGCTGTGGTTAATTAAGGTATGGTGGATTTGAAAGAAAGCACTAGCTATAAGCATCTGTATATGTTGATTAGCAATAAGCAACCGTTTACTGGATAGTTATGTCACTAATGTTCATATCTTCCATCCAACCTTGCCTGTATCCACCCTCCCCCCCACCCCCGGTGTAGTGACTATGACAGATGCTCAAGAATGTCTGTTAAATAAAATAGTGTAGAAACAAATGATAGGAAACCTTTAGCTCATGTAAGTGTTTTGTGGTTTGTAGAGTGCGCCTTATGGAAAAAGTGGTGCTGCAAATCCAAAGCCAGAAGAAGGGCAAGAGAAGACAGAAGAGAGCTGAGCCAAAATCCGTGCAGCCTGGACCAATGGCTGGTCCACAGGCTCAACTACGCTTACAGCAGCTCTCATAGCTTTTTACGTGTATCCTTTAGTACAGTAGCACATAGAGACAATTTTGCTTCTGCCTCTGGCTCTCATTTGTGTTTTAGACAGTTAATCAGAGGTAGTGATTTCCTAGGGAAAAAGTGGAGTATTCCCTTCATACCATAGCTGGTTGCCAGTTCAGCCAGGGCAAGGACAACAAATTCATTTGGTAGCTCGAGAATCCTGAAGTTGCTTTGTACTTCATACATCACAGAGTTGAAGTCATGAGCAGCAAGAGATACCAACACCTCACCAGCTAACATTCTGATTTCTCTGGGAGTCTGAGAAGGAAAATAAAAACAATAATGAGAGGAAGAACACAGCAAGCCTAAAAAGGGGAAATAGTTTAAATAATATAAAGTCACCTGGATTTGATATAGAGGAAAACAGGCTGTTTCAAATTCATGGTAAAATCATTCAGGTAGGTGTCAGTAGCTTCAAACAAGGCAATTTTAATGGGGTTCCTATAAATTTGACATCAGTCTTTTCTATCTATCTATCTATCTATCTATCTATCTATCTATCTATCTATCTCCAAACAAGGCAATTTTAATGGGGTTCCTATAAACTTGACATCAATCTTTTCTATCTTTCTTTCTTTCTTTCTTTCTTTCTTTCTTTCTTTCTTTCTTTCGCCATGCCTACCATGAATTGTTGCCATATTTTCCTTCCCTCCCTTTTTTGAGGCAGAGTCTCATTATGTAGCTCAGGGCATCCTTGAACTCATGATCCTCCTGTCTCTCTTAGCTTCTAAGAGCTAGCATTACAGGCATGGACAACTACTCGTGGCTCATTATAAGTTTTCTTGCTAATTGGTTAGGTACCTTGAACACAGAGTTTATGTTTTATGCTTAGGTTATATGAATTATTATGGTTGAAAGACTAAAGTTAAGGTGAAAGGAAATGGGCCAAGGGTTGAGAGTTTTAATTTAGTATCCTACTGGTCTAATTATTTCCCAAACTGGAAATATTAGGAGGGGTTTTTACTTTTGCTGATGGTGAGTTATATACATTTTATCAACTCTCCCACTGAAGAAATTAAAAAGACCAAGACAAGACATATATAAAAAACTGTACTTGTAAAAGCACCAAAGAACTTTTCATATACAGTTTAAGGAATTCTTTTTTGCTTAAGTCTTACTTTTAATTGAATTTTGTAAATTTCATACCATATAGTTTGATAGTATTTAACTTCCCCTATCTGCACCTCCCCTAGGCCTCCAATCTAATGCACACACACAGACACAGACACAGACACAGACACACACATACACACACACACACAAAAGAACTTTTCATATACAGTTTAAGGAATTCTTTTTTGCTTAAGTCTTACTTTTAATTGAATTTTGTAAATTTCATACCATATAGTTTGATAGTATTTAACTTCCCCTATCTGCACCTCCCCTAGGCCCCCAATCTAATGCACACACACAGACACAGACACACACAGACATACACAGACACAGACACAGACACACACACACACACACACACACACACACACACACACATTACTGCCTATAGAGTCTAATTCCTGAACGAAGATCTGGAAAAGATCAGACAGTGTAAGATAATGAGGAAGATACAAAGAAAAGAAGAGATATGGGAGCCAAGAGAACTGGGGTCTAGATAGTCTTTTTGTCAGCAGATAGCTGTGATACATTGAAATAAACTCTGTAAGCACAAACTTCTGCATGTAAAGACAGTTGGATGATATTTAGCCTAAAGTCTCTCTTACATTTGCCTCATTTCCCTTATATGACGGGTTCTGTAACTATGTCTAAACTGCTGTGAAGTACAGATCAACAACATGTGGTCCTGGAAGCCATGAAGGAAAGGCTTTTGTATATTCACACGGTGTACTTGAGTCACTCAAAAACCCTGATGTCAGTCCTGGTATGGATTCACCATCAAGGACCAAACTTACATCATCATCTCTCATGTCCTTAGAAGTGTAATAAATCAACGTTTGGACAATTGCATCATCCAAGATGTCAGTATTCTGAATAGCAGAAATGAGATGACTGTAGATTTCTTCCTGTGAACAAAGAAGGGCACAAAGGTATTTGAGTTGCAAAATAAACAAATCAGATACAGCCAAATAAAAAATACCACCAAACTAAGCAATATGTTTGCTACACAATGGATTTTATATCTCTTAACCCAAGATTTCTAATATGCATCTTCAGGAGTCAAAGGCTTATGTGTAGAGAAATATTAATTTAAAAAAATTTTAATTTATTTTATTTTACTATTTTTATTTTGTTTGAATGAGTACATTGCCTACATATGGGTAAGTGCGCCTGTGTTGTGCAATGCCTGCAGAGGTCAAAAGAGAGTGTCAGATCCTCTGGAACTGGAGTTAGGACTGTTGTTAGCCACTCTGTGGGTGCTAGGAATCAAATCCAGGTCCTCTGGAAGGGCAGTCAGTGCTCTTAACGGCTGAGCCAGCTCTCCAGCCTTGAGAAGCATTAATTTTAAAACTTACTTTATCTTGTTACATTTCTAAGGCAATATCCAATTGAATAAGAGGCAGGTAATCAGCATATCAGTGCCTGACAGTCCCTGTTGTAGAGCTCTGAGGAAAGTGTCCATCACCCTAATAGCTGCTCTTACTACCAGAGAGTTAGTTACAGCACTAAGGAACAGCTTCAACCAAAGCGCTGTGAAACCAAATCCTAAGAGTGTTACAGGCTTTTGTTTCGTTCATGCCTTCGCTGAAGCAAGGTTGGGAGACCTTTTTGGACAGAGCTTCAGCTCTAGGAGTCACATGACTTGAGCATGTGCCTATGTGCAAGTTCTTATAAATCTTATAGGTGTGGACATATCCTCTGGAAGATGAGAGGCTGATGTTCTCAGATCTCCAATAGCTGAAGTATGTGACTCCAGGTATTGAGTCCATGTTTAAGTTGTGAAATACCTTTTTTTTAAATTATTTAATAACCACATGATTAGAAGCATTTCATTACAGCATTAACATATTCAATAACAATTTCCAGAGCAAAGATGCTTCTCTTTCAAAATTAGCTGTAAATTTTGAGGTTCACAGTTAAATTAATACAGTTATACAATATTGAACTCAGTATAACCCTTATAAGACATAAAATTGAATGAGGTTTTAACTGTGACCCTCAAAATTTACAGCCAATTTTGAAAGAGAAGCATCTTTCAAAAGTGGCTATAAAATTTTAGGTTCACAGTTGAATTAATACAGTTATACAATATTGAACTCAGTATAACCCTTATAAGACATAAAATTGAATGAGGTTTTAACTGTGACCCTCAAAATTTACAGCCAATTTTGAAAGAGATGCATCTTAGCTCAGGAAATTTTTATTGAATATGTCGATGCTGCTGTAATGAACTGCTTTTTCTAAGTATGTTGTTAATAAATAATTTTTAAAAAGAAAAGAAAAAAAGGAAGGAAGGAAGGAAGGAAGGAAGGAAGGAAGGAAGGAAGGAAGGAAGGAAGGAAGGAAGAAAGAAAGATAAAAAAGACCC